AAAAATTTAAATTTTTTTTTTTGAAAATTTCTTTGAAACAAGTTTTTTTTAAAAAAAAAAAAAAAATCCCTAGGGGAGAAGGATGAGATAACTGCGTTTAATATATGAGTGTTCTTTTCGGGCCTCGCAATTTTATTGATATTAAGTTTTTTTAATTTGAAGCCTCTCAACACCAGCAAATAAGTGTATGGAAGAGTACATCCATGATCACGAATGGTTAATAAAACTGATACTAAAGAGCCAAGTAGAACACCCGATAGAGGGAGTCTCGAAGGATGAGAAAATAACCTAATCAGCCTGTGTTTTATGTCGGCGACCTATTTCGTCCACACAATAAACTTAGCTTTAATGAGACTTAGATTAACAACAACATACTGATCTGAAGGAACTCCACGTGAACTCTCGTACTATTTAGTATAATTACAGACGTGTATTAATACGCGTCTTTAGTGCAAAAGCTTTTTCCTTTTTAACAACTTAAAATAAATACGTGTAAAGACTGAACTGAGTATATATATCTATTATATTTTGAAGACGTGAATTGACAGAATCGGAGTAAAGAAGGTCCAGTCAAGTTTTAATGATGTAAACTAGAGTATAATATAAAGCTTCTAGCTAACCATAACTTCAATATAAACGCTCATTCACTTGATTGTCCACAGATTCTGGAAATACGGAGTAAACTTTTCACAAATAAAACCCTTTCTAAAGTTCAACTACTGTTGACCTTTAAAGCTGTAGAGTTTCATAATGACGCGACCTTTGACCTATTCTCCCGTAAGTTAATGGTATTCAACTTTCATACCAAATTTTACCGAAATTCATAAAGAATGTATTGATTTAAGTCTTAATATGGGGAAGCAAGCACCCACGTACATTCTTGGCAGTGAACATTAGATTATTGCCCATCCTCCCTCGGGAAAGGAATGGGGATAATTCGCATGAAGCAGTTTTCTTCGTCAGACAGCAGGCTGTTGAAAAGAAGAAAGGTCTTTATAAAACTTAACAAAAGCCTGGAGCTTGCTTCATGAAGCTTGAAATGTTTCAAATATTGCCGGTGAAGAAATTTTACAATGAGAAGATATTGTATTTAAATACTTTGAAAATGAACGCTCCATATGACAGCTGGCACGTGTACAAAACCATACCTAAATACCAGTCTCTTCGCCAACATTTGGTTTGGTTGTAGTTTAACAAAATTAGGTTTACGAGTTAAATGAGTATCAGAAATGAATATTCGTTCAGCTACGGTGTTCTTGTATAAGCATTTTTACTGTTCGATTACAATGTTCTAAAACAATGTTCTATATAAGCATTTTTATCGTTCGATTACAATGTTCTATATAAGCATTTTTACTGTTCGATGACAATGTTCTATATAAGCATTTTTACTGTTCGATTACAATGTTCTATATAAGCATTTTTACTGTTCGATTACAATGTTCTATATAAGCATTTTTACTGTTCGATTACAATGTTCTATATAAGC